GTCTACCGTACCTACGTACGTACTACTCTCTCTCTCTCTCTCTCTCTCTCTCTCTCTCTCTCTCTCTCTCTCTCTCTCTTTTATTTTGTACCTAAGGGTTGGGTAGTAAGAGATGCCTTGAATTAGGTCTTGAGGGTTTGAGCTTAGGCTTAAGGTTTTGTGATCAAGAAGGGTTCATAGTTCCATGGCCTAAACTTGCTTTCTCGGTTGAGATTGAAGTTAGATCAATGATCCCAGGCCATCGGATGGTGGTGACTAGGTGTGGGGTGTAATAAGCCCGGTTGAAGTAATCTCCGACACTCTTTACTTTTATTTCTTACAATTTCAAATTTATATTCTCAAGCATAAGAAATAGTTATTTCAATGGCATCAAGTTTCAAGATCTTGGTTTTACTGTTTTGTTGATTTTATTTTGAAGTATATGTTATTGTAATAAGACCACTTGTTAGTGATCGTTTGCCAAAACGAAAGGGGTGGAAAAAAAAAAAGTATTCACCAGTAAAGGATCACATTGGTCTTTCTTTCAAAAAAACACCAATTGTTTGTATGTGTGTATGAATGAAAAAATACGTAATAAAGTAAATAAATAAATAATAACTTATTCGATCTAAGATTTACATGGTTAAGCTTTTCAAGCTACATGCATGGAAGAAAGATATTAAAATTCACTAAAATAGTGGAGTACAAAGATCTTCATATATGCAAGTTCTCTCTTGGGCTACAAGTCTCTCTAACTTCTTCAAAAGATTCTTTCTCTAGGTTTTTCTTCCCTTGGGTTTTTTAATTCTCAAAAAAGGCTTCTTCGTTGTTTAGGGCTATCTCTATCTTTGGTTCTTCTCTCTCTCTCTCTCTCTGAGATCTAGATCGCCCTACTCTCTCTCTCACACACACATAAAAGAGAAATGAAGGGAGAATGAGTACTGGACCGGGTTGGATGGCCCGGGACTCCCGAGCCCTTGAGGGCTCGCCCGTATTAGAACCAATTCCTCTTGCCCTTCTGGTCCAGATGTCAATCAGCAAGTTTCTGGTATGAAGGCTTTGATTTAGGGTTTGTGTCATAAGGGTAGATCTGGTTTGTGCCCTAAGGGTAGATTTGGGGTTTTTCTCAGCTGTCTCAGGCTTCCTAACACAATTTCCAGGGTTTTCTCCCCTGTAAATCCCTTAGGTTCTCAATGTTTATCTCTTATGTTTCTTTTTCGCCGCTAAGGTTTTCTCTCTCTAGCATTTTCTTTTTTGCCGTCCGTCCCCCTCTAAATGGTCTGCTTTAAGGGGGGCGAATTTCGTTGGGAATGATAGGCATGCGTAACAAGGAAATCCCTAGTCAAAAGGTCCATCTTTTGAGGGTCCCAGATCTAGGAGGCACGGGTTGTGTCGCCTGGGCGGCACGCCCCATGTTTCACACACCATTTTTTGTTGAAATTGAGATTTTTCACTTCTTGTGTGTTCCTCAGCCTCTTATGAAACTCTCAGAGAAACTTTGGGTCCAAACGGATTTTTTTACTATTTTTAGTGATTGTTTTGGTAAAACAGGGCATTTACAGAATTCTTGGTCAAAATATGGTTTCTACAAGGTTCCGGGCATGCAAACTGCTTCCGGACCACAAGGTAGGCTATGTGAACTATGAACTTGGGTTTACTAGGTTAAATGTGGTCATAAGGGTTCAGAAAACCATAGAATTTATCGGATTTAAAATGGGGTGTCTACACTCTTATGAGAATCCAGGTCCTGCAGGAATTGGTGGTGTGTTTAGAGATCCTTTAGATATGGATATTTTCTCGTTCTATAGACCATGTGGGACGGTTACAACGAATCAGGTAGAGATGTTAGCTGTGGTACCGGGTCTAAAGTTATTAAAGGAGCTGAGCTCATTTGGGTTGGTTGGTAGAAGGTAATTCTTGTAATGTCATTAATTGGATTTCTGGGATAAGCAAGGTACCTTGGAGTTTAAGAAAGTATTGGCCGGAAGCTATGGATATTTGCTGAAATCAGGTGGTGGCCTTCAACCATGTTTATAAGGAAGCAAATGATAGGGCTGGTTTGTTAGCAAAAGAAGGGGTTCAGGCTATTTGTAATGTTATTTTCTCATCTATTTTTGTAACTATGCTTTCGTCTGATTAATAAAGTTACGTGCTCTTATCAAAAAGAAAAACGATTTGGTGAAGATATAGGTGACACTAACCAAGAACTTGAGTGTTACGTCCAGGAAATGCACAATTTAGTCCTGCAGGCCTCTTTGTATCCCCCTATAAAGCAAGTCTTACACGAGTTTGGGACCAAAAGGAAAAATTGAGATAATTTTATGTGCTCTTTAGCGTAAGGAAAAGGTTTATATAAGGTTGCCACCTTAAAATGTAGAATTAGAGATACACCCCAAAAATCCATTGGAACAAGTTGTTTTAATGTTAAAAAGTCCTCTAATTGATCATCTCGACATTGAGATGTATGAATATGAAAAAAAAACCGATTTTGAGTCTTAGAAATAGTTCATCTTGCAGCACCTCATCTAGACTGTCCATTTTCAAGATATTCATTTGTTTATAGATCTTCTTGATTTTAATTATTTTTGAAGTTTAAAATTTTATAATTAGATATGAAAATAGATTTTGAGATAATCCTAATAATATTTTATACCAAAATTACATGTTATGATAAAATTTAGAGGTGTGCCTTAATTGGATTGTTTAAGGTTGAAAACTTATAGAAACCGCACCCTTATTATAAACCTTCCAATGAAAGCATCTTTATGTACACACATGAGATAGTAAATAAAGCTTGATACGATTATATTAAAATGCATTTTCTAATTGAGTAGAGCAACCAAACCCTTGGATCTAGGGTCTTAACAATCGAAACGATATATGGAAGATATCAAATGTCTTAATGTCTCAAGCTCCGAAATTCAGATATTACAAAATATACTTAAAGAAATAAAACAAGTAAACATGAGTCACATGTTTACCCTTATTAGAATTCAAACATTCCCTGATTCACTAGTATAATATAAATCATTTGGCCCTAATATTGCAGTCTTTTTGCCATCATCACATCTTTTCCTTCCTAGCATGGTTGATCTGCAGTTCCAACGATTTAACACTATCTTCAAATTCTTGGAATTCTTCATCCAACATCATTTCCTTGAATTCTTGCCAAGACTCCCTAGCAGGATCGTAATCTCCCTTAACCAATTTGACGATGGCCTGAGGAACCCTCACAAATTAGTTGGTATGGGAAGAGAGATAGAGGCACGTGTTGACCTTAGACAAGTCGATCCGCCATGTTCCTTGTTTTTTTTTTTTTTGTTTTTTAAACATGTACAACTTTGGCCAGTTACTCAAGCCCGGCCCAAGTACCTGGCCTAGATGACTCTCAGTACACTGCTATCCGCTATATTTAACATAAGAAACATAAATTATGAGTTTGTCGTAATGGAACTTGTTTATTTATGAAATCGAGCTGACTTTGTTGGCTAATTTTGTCGACTCGACTCCAATCAAGTCCACGAAACTTTCTGACAGTTACTTGTTGGGGAAATTTGAGATTCAAATAGAACACTAAGAGAAAATTGGAGGTTTTATATAAGGTTTGCATAAGGTTGGAACCTTAAGCAATCCAATTCACATGCATTTTTTAATTTTATCATTAATATAATTTTGGTGTAAAAAATTCGTATGATGGCTTGGTAATCTATTTTCATCTATAATTATAAAAATTAAAACTCTACAAATAGTTCAAAGCAAGTAGATCTATAAAACAAATGAAAATCTTGAATACATACGGTCTAGATAATGTGTTGCAAGATACACTTTTTTTGGGACTCAAAATCTTTTTTTCTTGTTATATTTATATATCTCGATGTTGAGGGAATCAATTAGAGGGTTTTCCAACATTAAAACAATATTTTATGATAAAATTTTGAGATTCACCTTAATTCTACATTTTAAGGTTGCAACCTTGTATAACATTTTTCCCATATATAAACCAAGAGAGCTGTCCAACATTAAAAAACATAGAGCTGGTGCTATTTTGTAATAAGCCGAAGGATTTGTTCCAAATGAACATTTTCTGCACTCTCACTCTCAGGTAAAAATAATTTTTTTTGATAAAATATTTTTGGACCACGAATTTTGAGGATGTATCCTTAACATAGTACACAACTTCAAAAGGAGAATTAAATAAAAAATAAAAAATTTATAGCCACCTTTTTTGGGGGAAAATGCTGGAAAATTTAATGGACATCATAGGCAGATCTGATAGATTAATGATTCAATTTCCATTTCTTCTTCAGAACTACTTATTAGGTGATTATAATGTGGATCTCTAACTTTTAGGTTATCGTGCAAGAGAGTAAATGCACAATATGCTCTATGGCAAGTGTGTTTTAATACTGTAATCATAAAGAGGGAGTTCAAAGAGTTTACCATGTAGAGGGGACGCCGGGCATCACTTATAGCCACTTCTTCCAAGCATTTGCAGTTCAATGCGGCGTCGTAGTTTCCCTTTCAACAAACAAAGATAAGGTTTCTATGAGTGGGGCCGCCTCACCTATTTAAATGAGTCCTCTCCTTTATGTTTATATTCAAAATGGATTTTGTATTTGAATTTTTGGAGAAGGAAAATCTCAACAACTACTAATAAGAATCTGAACAAAAGAAGAAGCAAAACTAAGAATGAAAATGAATTTTTCATATGAGTTTAGCACTATTGATTTTATTGTTTTGGGATAACCATCGGTTAACATCTATCTCTAATGCACATACTAGTTTTCCTTCTTAACATCACCAAATTAATTAAGTACCTAACAACTCACAAATTAAAAATATCTGGAAATTCCATGCTTTACCTAAAGGCGTAGACTATTTTTCTCACTTTTATTTTGCCTAATTTTATTTTGTGTAAGTCCATGTTATATTTTGACACACATATATATTAATTTTAGTGTAAGAAGGTCACAATCAGTCTTGGTATTCGAATTCAAATTGGGGGCCCCAGATGTGCCTTTGAACAATTAAAGATTGTATGTGTACGTGTGTATAAAACAGACTTAAAATCTACCATGAGCAAATATCACTCATCGGCTCATCACCATCAAAATTTTATCCGATGGCCACGGATTGTCCAATAATGTTTGCCACTCAACGTAACTTGATCCGTTATTATCTCACACACACACACACACACACACACACACACACACACACACACATATATATATATATATATATATATATATATAGGAACAACTTAAAACTACTAAGTGAATCAGACCGCGTCACAAATGTTTGATAGTATTTAAATTTTTATAATTTTTTTACAAATTGGATCAACTTGAAATTTTATCTATATGTCCATATCAGAGAGGCTAAATAAATTATAAAAAAAATTAAATAATAAAAAATACCAAAGTATTCTATAAATATTTTAGGTGTATTTTTGTTATATTATTTTGTGATAATTAATTTTTTAGTATTTGTATCTGAGATAGTTTATGTACACCCTCCCCAAAGTTGAGATAAATTAGATTTCTAGAAAACATATTAAAATTCAAATACGATCAAGATAAATATAGTCATCTAATGGACCATAGATAATGATGAGCCATCAATAAAGTACTATAGAAATTCACCTATGCGTATATATTAGTATTATACATACATATAAACATACATATGTAAGTATGTACATATACTTGTATGTATGTATGTAGCGACCATGATTGTCCAATAACGATTACCGCCCAATGAAATTTTAACTACTACTATAAAGAAAATATGAATATATTGTCACAATAATTTTGATTATGCATTTATTGTCATATCTTAGTTGATAGTACATGTTACTATTTAAATTTTAATGTTTTTTCTATAAAGTAAACTAAGCTCAAATTTGGGGCATTGATGCTACATGTTAAGGTGCACAGAAAAAATATATAAAAAAATAGTTTCAAAACCTTAAAATGTTTGAAATACTCTTGGAATATGTTTGGCATATTATGGTCATTTTATGTTTTTAGATTTTATTTTCTTTGGCGCATGATAGTTTCAAGTAGATAAGCCAAAGTATTTAGCTCAAAGCAATTTCTAGGAAAAAAAGATATCAAATTAAAGTAGTAATTTGCATTCTCAACTATCCAATCACATAGTGAGCATATCTAAAGTTACTATTTGTTTTAGGTGACAACTTTTTGGTAGCTTTATGTATGTATGTACGTATGTATATAGTATGAAAGCCCATATATATGTATGATATCCATCATAAACACCAAAAGTAAGGTGCACCTCCAAACCCTACTGAAAGTTGTAGTTCCATTGGCAGAAACACCGACGATAGTATGAAAATATATTCCCACCCCTAATTATGAAATTAAAATCTCCAAAAATAGTACAAATCAAGATCTATAAGTACATAAAATCTATGAAATGGACAGTCCAAATAATGTGTTATAAGATACATTACTTTTACTTCTTGGCATATTTTTGTTCCCTCCATCTTCATACATCTCCAATTTAAGATGGTCATTTTGCGTGTTTTCCAGGTAGGGTTCTTAAGGTGCACCTTACCTTTATAATATAAAGTTGATGCCTTACATATAATTTTGTAGATTTCCTATTGGGCAAGGTTCTTAAGGTGCACTTTACGTTTATAATATAAAGTTGACACCTTATATATAATTTTGTAGAATTCCTATTGGGCGAGGTTTATATAAATTACTACCTTATATCCTATAAGTAAGGCAAACCTCTAAATTTTGCTAGAAGATGTGGTTTTGATGTCAAAACCTTACAATGGATTGAAAATCTATGTTTAACTCTAATTATAAAATTTAAATACGTAAAATATGTGCAGATTGAGCATATTTATAGACATTTGAAAATCTTGACAATTGGTAGTCCAGATAACTCGTTACAAGACGCACTATTTTTGGATCTTGAAATCTATATTTTTTCTTTATATGTATACATTGTGAGATCAAGATGATTAATTAGAAGGTTTTCCAACTTCAAAACGCTTATTTCTATGTCCTAAAAAGTACAAGTTAGCTTGTTGTGCCACTAGAAGAGCATTTCAAGGCAAGGAAAATGACATACCTGGTAGATAAGCATTTCTACTACCAGCATTTCTAAATCATGTGCCAGTTGTAGATCTGGACCTTCCTTCTTCTTATCTTCCTTCGCCCTTTGCATTGCCTCTTGGAGCATCTCTATTGCTTCGTCTTCCTCTCCGCTCATTTCCAATATGGAAACCTCTTTCTAATCAAAGGTACAAATGGTCACATTAAGAAAAAAAAATGCACATGGTAGGATCCATATGATCATGACAATAATAAAAGGCAAAATAGAATATTAATCCTAATTAAAACATAACCATGGCAAGAAAATTACTTTGCAGACTTATTTCAAGAGTGGCAAGAAAAGAAAATAAAAAAACTCAGAAAAACACAAAAACAGAGCATGCTCATAAAGAAACAGTACCTATACAATATAATAAACATAATTTGATTAAGAAAACATAAACATAAAGAAATAATGAGACAACTTATAAAGTTTTTTTTTTAAAAAAAATGGGTGGGGGGGGGGGGGGGGGGAATTAAATATGGAACAATATATTTCCTATGCAATATACAATTGAATCAAACAAATTGATACTGACCAAATAGTGGGCAAAAGATGATAGGAAAGAAAATGAGAGAGAGAGAGAGATGATGGGATTACTCTAGGTTGGAATAATTTATATTTTTCTTTCCTTTAGTCTAAATGTTAACTTGGAATATAGTAGGACTAGAACTTGAGTAATTACATTGTGACACTCCAGACTACGTATGCCTTGAACCTATCCTTGAAGGAAATTTCTAGTTTATAGATATTTTTCGAAATTATATGGGAAAAGGACATCAATATCTAGAAAATTTTATGCTTTGCATATGGAAACTATGAAAAGAGCCCGGGCTTAATTGGTTAGCAGTTGACGATTTGGAGTGCTACGTCGAAAATTCAATTCCTACCAAAGGTGGGGGCCCTCTCCCCACTGACTCACCCCCCAAAAAAAAAATAAAAAATAAAAAAAGAACTATACAATATGGGAATAGGACAACAATATGATGATAACTTTCTACTTTCAATTTTGAAATTATGGAAAAAAGTGGAGATTGGCCTCTATTTTCATAAACTTTGGAGCCCTAAAAATACTAAGAATTTTTACTCGAGGGAGCATATACTGCTAGAATTTTTAAATACCAAAGTGTTCTAAAATTTCATAATCCACTTGAAAATAACTAAAGTGTTTTAGAGATGGTGGAAAAATAAATTTTTGAGTTTCAAAAGACTTAGATCTGACTGTTTAGAAATTCGGCCGTCTTCTCTCAATCTTAAGATGTTATTTTTTCATAGTACCATTTGCGTGATATCGAAGTTAATAAATAATAAAAAATTGAGAAATTTATGTTGAACAAACCTGTAATTGCTTCATATCAGGGTTGGCTTGTCCCAACAGTTTCTTGAACCGTTCCTTGGAATCTGCTAAAATTTTAGGGTCATGGATTGCTTCTTGAGCAAATTGCATCCTCTCCCATGCCACCCTCCCACCACGTAGTGATGTGAGTGAGAAACTCCTTTGGAACTTGATCTTGGGTTTTTCTTTCCTCTGTTACAAGGAGGAAAATGTTTAAATGAAGTTCTATTCAAATGCGACTCCTTTACGAAAAGGGTGTCATTTCTATAAGGTTCCAACCTTAAACAATCCAATTAAGGCGTACCTTCAAATTTTATCATAACACGTAATTTGGTGTTAACATTTTTAGGATTATCTGAAAATCTATTTTCATATCCAATTATAAAATTTTACACTCCAAAAATAGTTAAAATTGACTAAATTAATAAACATATGAAAATCTTGAAAATGGACGGTCTAGATAATGTGTTGCAAGATGCACCAGTTTTGAGACTCAAAATTCTGTTTTTCTTCATATTCATACATATTGATGTCGAAAACTGCTTTAAAAAATCTATCGAAAAAGTTTTCTTCATATTCATACATATTAATCCATATGATCAATTAAAGCAGTTTTTGAGGTGTACCTTATATATATATATATATATATATATATATATA